GGACTCCAAGCTCGTGGACCGGACCCGGCGGCCTCTGGCAGGGCTCTTGGCGCCGGCACCGCTGAGGGCCTCCCCCCCTGGCGGCTTGGGGGTCTTCTCCCTCCCTCGCCGCTGGGCTTCGGGTGAGGCCCTCTGGCTGGCGGCCGGCCGGGCCCCTCGGCTCAGCCTTTTGCAGTCACAGCTGCGCCTCTGCTCCCGGGAGACGCCAGGCACTTTCTGCAGGGGGCTGGTTCTCAGCTGGCAAGCGCAGAGCGCCCCCGGGGCCGAGGGGAGCAGGTGCTCCGCTGGGGGTGGCGGGGGCTCCCCCCGGGCCCTGGGCTTGAGCAGCTCTTCCAGGAACTCCAGCTCATACTGCTTCACCTTCTGCAGCTGCGCCTGCCGCTCGTCCATCTCTTTCTTCAGCCTGGTGGGGAAGGTGGCGGAGAAAAGGTTCCGCAGGCGGAAGGAGGCCTTGGGCACTCTCGGCTTTGCTGGGAGGTCGGGCTCGAGGGCGGAGACCTCCACGACCCTCTCGGGGGTCTTTGAAGGCACGGAGGGGGCAGCCAGGCCCTCGGCCCAGGGCCCCGGCTGGACCGGCCCCTTGGGGTCCTCACCTCCAGAGCCCCAAAAGGCGCTGCCACCCCTGGCGGCTGAGCCCTCGGCCTTGAAGTCTCTGGCCCGCGATTCGTGCGGCTGCCCCCTTTCTGCTTGGCCAGGGAGGGCAGCCTGCGGCTGGCAGCCTGGGCCAGCCGCCTCCCTGCTGCCCTTCTGGACGGGCTCCCCCTCCTTCCCTGCCGGCCTCTCTGGGGCCTCCCGCTTTCTCCTGGGCGCCTGCCTTTCCTCCCCTCCTGAGGCCTGAGTGTGTGCCCCGAGAGGCTGCGAGGAGGCCTGGCCGCGCTGCTTTGGAGGCCCTTGGGAGCCAGGGCTGGGTGGACTCCCGGGTGGCCACCCGGGAAGGCCACCCGGGTCACCCGCGGCTTGCCTGCCGCCCTCATTTCCTGTGGCGGTTTCGCCCAGGCTTTCTGACAGGGAAAGGGAGGCGGTGCGGCCAAGTGCTTGCTGCAGGGCTGCTGGAACGATGGCAGGCGTGATCCGGCCCTGGGAATTCAGGACTAACTTGGGGCTCGGAAGGACCTCCACCGGTCTCTTGTCCAGCCACCCCTGCACCGGTTCGTTGCTGAGGGTGGTCGTGGCAGGGGCAGGCCGCGGGGACACCTCCAGAACTGCGAGGTGGGGGCGGGTGCTCTTGGGCTCGGCCGCCAGTCTTGGCCCACCTTTGTCCTTGGGCTCGCTGAGCGGCTGGGAGGCCACCAGATGGAGAGGCAAGAGGTCGCCTGGGCCACCCGGCTGGCGAGGGTCCGGCTCGTTCCTGCCACAGCGCGGGCTGGAGTTCTGGCTGGCCGTGGCCGGCTTGGGGGAGCGGTTGTGCTCAGGATGCCGCAGGGCATAAGGCGAGGCGAGGACGGCTGGCGCGACGCAGCCTTGGAGGCGGAAGGGGTGGTCCTTCCGGGCCAGCAGGCTGTCCTTATTGATATGCTGGGCCAGGAAGAGCGCGGCGTTCTGGTGCTGCTTCATGGCCGAGATCATCTCTGAGACGTCCGTGATCTCTGAATAGCTGGTTTCGTGGCCGGAGTCCTGCGAAGACTCTGGGGTGATGGCTGCCAGAACAATCAGCCCTGGAGAAAGAGAAGGCAAGCCGTTAGGAGACCGAAGTGGAGGGCCAGGCGGCTCAGTCCAGCCGAGGCCGGCTGTGGGATGTCTGATCCTTCTGGGCAAGGGGTCAGGGGTTTTCCAAGGCCACTGCCCATCCCTTTGCTGAGCATGTGAGAGCTGTCCGGGCAGCTACTGTGTGTCATCCTGCAGAAACCCAAGCCTGTGTAACGCATGCTGCTTGGCTCCTTGCAAGGGCCAGCTGACCTTCCTGCCCCCAAACCCGCTTCTTGGCAAAGGGAGTGGCCCCCGACAGCAAGAGCACCAGGGTGGCGGCTGCTGGACGGTCCGGCCCCCAGACAGGTGGCCTCAACCTTGTTGGGACTCTTGAACTGAGCAATGGGGCCATTCCTTTGCTCAGCCAAAACACAGCCTGGATCGGAGTCTCTCTCCTATATCTGCATTTGCGAGTGAATCCTTCCAACAGCTTGAACAGGCTCTCTCTCAGGAGGGAGGGAGGGAGTATGTACACAGGCCTTCCAACAGCTTGAACAGGCTCTCTCTCGGGAGGGAGGGAGTATGTACACAGAAGAGAAACATAGGGTCTGCCCAAGCTATTAAAAATAAATAATTAAAAGGCTAGTTTTTGTACTATAGCTGTCATAACATCCACCAGCACCAACAGAGCAATACAGATTTAAGAGGAGATGGCCAGACCCTAGACAATCACATCTGAAATTTGCTAAGAAAGTTGCTACAGCCTCCAAACAAATTGAATGTATTTTTTTTTCCAAAGGGATAAGAGTGTGTGGGGAGGGTGAGAAGGCCTTGTGAAGTTATGGGGTTGCTAGGGTAACACGAGCGTTTCTGCTCCCGTGGAAGATGGCTCAAGCTCTAGAACAACAACGGCCACCCACCGAAACCAAAAACTGTGTTGTAAATAATGTCTTGAAGGCGGTGAGATGGCAGGCAGGGAGCGTGCTCCTCAGGGCAATGCTGCCGCTCTCTGCCTTTCAAGGCAGCGAGCTTTACACGAGGACAACCCTCCTGCGAGGGAGGCCTGCAGGATTATTCTTGGATGCAGGCGTGGGGGTTTGCCGAGGTGGTTTTCTCCTGGCCTGACCCCCTCCCAGCTGTAGCTCTGAGGCAGAGGCTGGGCTTGGCACCTCGGGTTTGAATAGGAGGCCCGAGAAGAGGCACCAGTGGCCACTCTGACTGGCAGCAACAGCTCTGTGGGGTTTCAGGTGAGTTTCGACACCCTAACCCACTGGTCCCTCGGAGTTCTGTTTTGACCCTATGCTATTTAACATCTACGTGAGACTGTTGGGTGAGATTATTCAGTGTTTTGGGGGTCAGATTCACCAGTACATGGATGACACCCAACTCTCGTTTCCATCTAATTCTGAGGAAGCTGTTTTGGTTCTAGATCAGTGTCTGGTGGCAGTAATGGACTGACTGAGGGTGAATAAACTGAAACTTAATCCAGACAAGAGAGAGGTTCCTGGTCCATCAAAAGGCAGACCAAGAAACAGTGATTCAGCCTGTCGTGGATGGAGTTCTACTCCCTCCGAAACCCAGGTGTGCAGCTTGGGGGTGCTGGAAGGGCGCACCTGTGGTCTGCTGAGGAGGTGGGTGTGGGCCGTCTTCCGAGGCAGCCAAAGCCTCCAAGGCCTGCAGGGTTGAGACGAGGGCATCGTCCAGGTCCTGGGCGTGGTCTCGGACCGTCCTCGTTTGCATACTGTCTATGAGCGTCACGGGGACCTCGTCGTAGAGGAGGCTGCAGAGGGGATGCTCTTGGCCCTGGGCTGCCGCCGCCGCCGCCACTGCAGCTGCCGCCGCCACACGGCGCTTACAGTCGTCCTCGTCGGAGCTGTCCCGGAAGCCCGGCGGGGGAGCCGCGATGGCCGGCAGCAGAGCGGTGGTCTCGTCCTCTTCCTCGTCGCTCCCCGGCGGGGGAAGGGAGGTCAGGTCCACCACGTTGTGGTCTCGGGAGGAGGCGGAGGCGGCGGTGGGGTTACCCCCCCTGTGAGGGGCCGCCGGCCTGGCCTGGACCTTGGACTGGCACGAGTCGCAATAGACCTGGGCGGAGCGGCTCCTCCCGTGGCTGTCCATGGTGTGGGCCCTGGCCCGGCTGGCCCGGCAGTGCTCCCGGTCCAGGCCCTTGCCCGGGTCATGGCCCGGGAGGGCCCCGTGGCACTCGTGCCTGGAGCTCTTGGGGGTGGGGTCCGATTTGGTGCGCGGCCGAGTCTCCTCCAAGAAGATCAGGTTTTCATTGACGTCCGGCCGGCCCGTGTGCTCCTTGCGCCGCTCCCGCATGTGCAGGTAGCAAAAGCTGACGAGGTCCGAGTCCGGGACCAGGGGGTCTCGGGGGGAGCACTCCCTGGCGCCGGGGGCAGGGCCACCCAGGAGCCCGCTCTCTTTCTTTCCCGGGTGCCCCGTGGCAGGAGCCCGATGGCTGGCGGGCACGTTGGTGTAATCTAAAGGCAAAAACAAAAACAGCAGCGGGGTGTTAGGACGCTCTCGTGAAGAAGGTGGATCGGCAGCCAGAGACTAGAGATAGGCACAAATTGAGAAAATGGTGATTCATTTTGATTTGTGATTCGTCAAGGCTGATGAATCATGGATAACGAATTTACAATTCCCACCCCCAATGAAGCAATGAAGCAATTCATCACTTCTGTTTTGCCTTTAAAACCCTATACCATGCCTCCCCAAGTACCCAGAGCCACAAAAATCACAGAGAGGCTTCTACTCACCCTCCTCTACAAGCCCTCCAAGCTTGGTGGAGACTCCGTTCCAGACCTCCAAGTTACACACCCACAAAGTGGGTCCCTCCAGGAAAGTGCCCATTAGCATCTGGCTTGAGGAAACCCAATCTTCATCAAAGTTGGAGGGATTGTAGAGGAGAGTCAAGGGAAGTAATTTCAGTGCCTCTCGGTGCTTGTGGGAACTTTCCTGGGGGGACCCTCTATCTGAATGTTTAACCCAGACATCCAAAGCCCAATCTTCACCAAATTTGGAAAGTTTGTAAAGGAGAGGCAGGAGAAGCTGCTCTGCAATTCTGGTGCTGCTAGGTGTCGGGGGGGGCATTTAATAGCCCAACGAATCAACAAATCAAAAATTGCTTTAAGTGTTTTGGTTCATATCCTTTGGGGCATCAATTTGGATGAATATGAACTGATGAATTAGTGACTATTGACAAATTTTGCAATTTTTTTTTATTTGTGCCATCTCTACCTGAGAGCTAAGAAAGAATTCAGGGACTTCACACACACCCCGTGCCCCAACCAATCCCTGGCTCCTATTTGGGGTGGCGGCAGATGGCAGTCCGCAGAGATGCAAGGTGGTGGGATTATTGCAGTGCTCTCTTGCAACTGAGGGAGGGGGGTTTGCTGCCCCTGCTTTCAACCCAGATTGTTGTGTGCCTTGCAATTCCACCCCTCCTTCCTGTGTGCCTTGCAATTCCACCCCCTGGCATGCCTCTGCCCCCACCCTGGAGATGAGGGGAGGTGTGCATACCTACCGCCATCTCTGTATGTTCCCTGTGCAGCACCAATGGCCAGGCCGGAGCTGGCCAGTTTGTCTCTGAGGAGCTCCGGCGGGCCTCATTCTGAGATGGCTGCACAATGTTAACAGGGCAGCTCCTGGAAATCAGACTCAGTTCACACAGAGCTGCCTGCAGGTGTCTGGATGTACCCTTCTTTGTCCCTTTGTGAGAAGCAAGACAAGCCAATATTGGCCGAGGGTGAATGGTGATCCTATCTTCTGTTTTTTCCCCAGGAGAAACGGTAAACAATAACTTACTTTTAAATGAAAGCTAAATGTTATTTTACTGTTTTAGTAGCAGTTGCTTCTCTCATAGCTTAACTTCCATATAATATGGTAGTATTTTGCTATTATAAAGTTTAAAAATATAAAAACCAAACATTTGCACAAGCCAACCACTGCCTCTGTATCTTAAGGTTTGCATTCTGGGAAGCAAAGAAAAAAGTGAAAACAGAAAACAGAACTTGGGAACAAAAAAAAAAAACTTAAAAGAATGTTAATTAGCTGGAATCTGTCTTGCATCTACTGGAACTTTCTCCATCCAAACTAGAACAGAGATCCTCTGGGATCCTCAGAGGAAGGCATGCAGTCATCCACAAGCAATTAAGCCTTATCCTCTCTCCCTCTGCCCCATTGCACCACTTCTCCCTGAAGATGGCAGCATTCACTGAAAGCTGAAATGTCTCCTCCATTGGTAAAAGGTAAAGGTTCCCCTTGACAATTTTTGTCCAGCCGTGTTCAACTCTAGGGGGTGGTGCTCATCCCCGTTTCCAAGCCATAGAGCCAGCGTTTTGTCCGAAGACAATCTTCTGTGGTCACATGGCCAGTGCGACTTAGACACGGAACGCTGTTACCTTCCCACCAAGGTGGTCCCTATTTATCTACTTGCATTTGCATGCTTTCGAACCGCTAGGTTGGCAGGAGCTGGGACAAGCGATGGGCACTCCCTCCGTCGCGTGGATTCGATCTTACGACTGCTGGTCTTCTGCCCCTGCAGCACAGGCTTCTGCGGTTTAGCCCACAGCACCACCACGTCCCTCCATTGGACAGATCTCTTTTTCTAGAGTAGGCATAGGAAATACTAACCCCCTAATTTTGCACCGTTGCAGTACCTTCCAGCCCCCCCCCCCGGACAGTGATGAGGGAAACCCTTGTCTTACATTTCACTCATTCCCAAAGAAAGGGAAAAATTAATTGAAGCACACCCACAAGCTCTGTGGATTTTCTACTGGAAAAATGAAGTGTGTGTGTGTGTGAGAGAGAGAGAGAGAGGAATAGAAGAGCTTTGTTTCTTTTTAAGGAAAAACTGTTTCTCTGGTCTTTTTTTTCTCTCCACATTTTTTCTTCAGCCCTTCCTATCTCTATTCATTTATATATTTATTTTCTTTTATTTATTCCCCACCTATCTGGTCAGGAGTTGACCAAGAAGCTTCCTGGGTGGCCAGATCCTTGACAAAGGAACACGCCGGCTGAAATCCTGTAATAAGTTATAACTTGAGTCAGCCCCTAGAATCAGTGGCAGCTGCAGGGGAGTTGACTCACCAAATCCTCACTGATTCAATGGGCCTACTCTAAATGCAGTTCAGTTCAGTTTGTTATGATCTTTAAACCAATCATACACAAAAAGAGAGACCTTTACAAATTTCCAGAATTCCAAATGTTTCATACAAACGTTTAGCATTAAAAGACAATTTAAAATCTAGTATGTACCTTCTGTAGAATTTCTGAGCCCTTGGTATCGCCCTACAGAATCTGGCTTCTTGGGAAGGGAGTGAACTTGGGGTCAAAATCAGAAGGAAGAAGCTTCCATCTGTTGCTCCAGTTGCAACTTACTACTGGGTTTCAATCACTGACCCAGCAGATGTTACTGTGTCCAGTTGCAAGCTTCCCAATTTGGAAAAGCAGGCTGGGGAGGCAATAGGAAGAGGAGGAGGAGGAGGAGGAGGACCTTTTGCCGGCTAGATGCAAAATGCTCTGTGGGAAGAATATTTGATGCCCACTGAGTGTTTCCATACGGCTCATGCGTGCGCGTAGTCTCCCGCTGCTCCGGGGTGGGGGGGGCAGTTGGACTTAAGAGGAGGGGGAGCCGCTCGTTCTGATCACAGAGCCTTGGTGCCTTCCTTCCAGGGGCTGCTCCCAGCACCACCCCCCACCCCCAACCGGCACTTCCGTGGTTGCAT